TGCCTGTCCCCTTCTCTGGTGGCTGTCCCCCTTCTCTGGTGCCTGTCCCCTTCTCTGGTGCCTGTCCCCTTCTCCGGTCTTTCTGCCAGCGCTGTGAGCACATCTTTAGTGTGCTGATGTTGGATGTCCAGGTTGCTTGAAGCATCATCTCCTGGGAGCCAAGTTGCATACCTGAAAGAGCTGAATATTTATCACAAATGTTTTCCTGAACTTCTTCACCCTGTGAACAGCAAGCGTGTTTCTTCTTGGGAGACTTCTATTTTTTCGGTGACCCATGGCATTTTGTGGCCTAGAAGGCCTCAGAAAATTACTTCTTATTTCAGGAGGACTTCAGRCAGCTTTTCTGTGAGATTTCTTGAAGTCTGCTGTACTCCTTGCCTTGAATAAGCTCCTCAGTGCCATGGTCAGGAGCACAACAGTGTGGGTGCTTCTGATTTAACCCCAGTCATGGGTTCCAAACATATTCCAAAGGTGGGCAAAGAGCAAATGGACTGATTCTGTATTGGTATCCAATACCTCACTGCAGCTATTTGCCCCTGCAGACTTTCTGGCTTTCTGATAGCTGCATCAGCTGATGGATWAAAAATGTGGAAATTCAGGTATTAGCACTGAAAAATGAAGGCTGATGGGGTGAGATAGCACATGTCCAAGTGTGGATGCTACAGACCAGAGGAGCTTGTGTGGCTATTCCCAGTAATGCTGCCAAATCTGAGTCCAAGAAGCCCCTCAGTAAGGGAACTGCTTTGACAATGCATTGGGTATCTGAGCTGCCCCTCCAAAATAGGAGCCAGGTAAATTTTATTTCTCCTGGAAATTACAGTGTATGTTTAGGAAGCTTTTCAGCACAATTGCTCATTTTGGGGATATCACTGTATGGATGGCCCAGGGAATTTTTCTGTGAGTGGTGTGTTTCCAATTTAGTGAGATATTTTACAGTTTCAATGTATGGATTCACACCACCCTCTTCCTAGATGCTGGTAGGAGATGCTGCCCWTGATGAAGAAATCCAACACCACAAGCACAACACTCTGCCAATATTGGCCAAACCCAGTAAGGACATCACATCACTGCAAATCAGCTCTTTGCMTGAAATCATCCCAGGTGCTCAGGARTGCCAGTAGCAAATCTCGAGCACAGGTTAATGTCAAGCTAAYTTCCTACATCCAGACAATCTGGATTCATACTGGGAAGCTTGTTAAAGGTCTTGTGGACTAATCTCTAATATGGTTGTTGTCCTCCATGACCCTTCCAAGGCACTCACGGTCTCACTGATGGGAATGAGATGGTGGAGGTACATTGTGAGAATGGCTGGATGAGCTGTGGACCTGAGCAGTGGTGATCAAAGTTCCACAAAGATCAGTCATGGCTCTGGTCCTTTTCAGCACTTTTATTTCTTTTATTTTATTTTATAGCTTAAGTACACAATGGGCCTTAACTTACTGGCCCTCTGGCACAACAGGAGCAGGACAGAGCTGTCAGAATCTGTCACTAATGTTCAGATGAGATGACTGTTGGCTGAAGAATATGTGAACTCTAGACTTCAGGCAATTACAGGGAGAAGARGAAGGCAATTTCATTTGTGGATGACTTTCGTGAATTTAAAATGTGTTTATGTAGTCCACTGGAATGCTGGAGGAGTCCTCAGCGACTCCAGATTTTTTCAGAGCCACCTCTCTGTTACATCATCTCCAGTGGAACAGGAGATACTGTTCCATCTTGGCAGGTGACAGCACGGGCTCAGCTGTTTGTATCTCTGCAGTTTCCTGGACAGCACCAGTGTGATGCACATGTGCCAGAGGCCCTCGGTGCTTGGTGACTCCAGCTGAGACAGTTCTTTGCCATCCATCTTCTCAGCAACAAGCTACTGTAAGTACTGGGAGCTCTCTGCTTTYCATGGGACCTTGAATAACATTTATGCCTCTGTCCGAATATTCAGGATATTGCCTGGTCTGGGTTCCTGCTATGGGATGCAGGGTATGGGTGACAGTTGCTTAAAAACATAGCATGTGCTTACAAAATAAATCCTGTATGATGGGGATCAGGTCAGAGCTTTCTGTAGGGAAGGTACAGAATTGTGTATTGAGCTCTTCTAGCATCAGCACAAACATTGCTGCCTGCTGTGCCAAAAGCTAGGCAACCTAAAGTTTCTTTTAGTTGYGGTTTTCTTCTCATGCTTCCTATAGCTAAATATACAGTAATATGCAATGTTTAAAAAAAACAAACAAAAAAAACCCATTCCAAAACTCCCTCAAATTTATCAAACCCATGTTTGGGACTGTGTTCTTGCTGTTGGCTATATCCTGCACACTCCTTTCTTTGCCTTGGTTTTGGTGCTCACCTGACTCCTTGGTACACTGGTTCAGTCCACTAATCCAGCAGAAAACTAACCCAGTCTGGGCTTTGTTTACTTGTTGCTAGGTTAGTGAGCTGCCTGGTGTCCAAGGGGAGCCAGGAGAGGACAGGTGAGCTGTGTGAGGAAGAGGGACTGCATGGCCTGGAAGGGGTTGCAGTGAAGGGTTAGATTTGCTCAGGCAACTTTCTGGGTTGTTTCCTTGGTGCGTGGCAGGAAAGGGCCCAGACACAGGGCCAAGTGCACTGTGTGGGGCTGAGGGCACTGCAGGAGAATTGCAGCAGTGGCAGTTCCAGGGGTGAGTAGAAGCTTTCCCTCTGGGGGTTATGTTCACCCATTTGCTACTCAGCCCTCCTCTGCTTTCAAAAGCATGCTGCGAGTGCTAGGATAAAACCTCCAACCCAGCTGTCTCTCAGCTACCAAAATATCTCCTTTGCCCCTTGGCCAGCTGTCAAAACTTTCCTGGCCTTCCTAGAACAAGCGTCTCAGGGAATGTTTCCYTTGGCTGATGAGAAATTGGGGGGATGCTCTGGAGATGTCTACAGCACTGCAGTTTGATGCCAGGTGCCTCTCYTAAGCCAGCTCTGGAACAGCCTGACCATCCCCTTGGTAATGCTCCGTGCTTGGTGTGCTCTGGAGGGTGAGATTGTGGTTCTAGGAAGAAAGTGATCCAGAAGAAAAAATCGTGCAACTCAACAGCCAAGGAAAAAAAAAAAGCCTTAATTATTCAACTAGTTTGGAATACTTGAAAGTATCCCTAAAAATAGGTGAGAGGGATGTTTGTCAGCTACAAAGAGATTATCCTGCAGTAGTATTGCTTCTCTTATTTTATGATGATGCTACAGAATACAGTCCCTCAGGTAACCTCATTAATGTTTATGAATGAACCCCTKGTTTTATACTTTTGGTTTTAGAAGGTAGAAATAGGGCAAGAGGCTAGTAAGACTGATTTTATCATTTATGCTTTGAACAGCCCAAGGACACGGCTGTAAGGTCTCTTTAAGCATATGGATAACAATTGGACTTGGGTGCTTGCTAGACTGCCTGAGATGTACCCTAAGGGAGAAATCCAGGCAGGACTTTGGCTAAAATCCTGGGTGAAATTCTGCATGCTTCCCAGTRGATCTGTCAGCAGGAGGTTGGCACTCTTCTGTGGCTCATCAGTCGTTTTGTTTTGATCTCTTCCGGCAAAGGCAACCTGTGGCCATATGTTGTTATAGCCATCCACAGGGCACTATCTGGTAAACCCTGCTCCTGACAGCGGCTCAGCCCAGGGTGGAGGCTTCTTTTCACTATCTGTTCCCTAAAGAGGGCAACTGTTTCTTCTGGCTATCATAACAGGGTGGCAGTTACCAACAGCCCATAACAGTGTGGGGTGGTTTCTGAGTCGTACCGCTCCATCCTTAAAAATAACAGCTCTTTTTTCCWAGCCAACCAACAATTGTGGTCAGCCACGAATACCAGTTGAACCATTTGGCAGCTCTCTATAGGAAACAGCTCTTTCCAGAGAGCCGAAGGAGCCTGTGGCACTAGAGCCACACTGGGCAGGTTTCAGTCAGCAGGGCACGCTTACAGATTTCCTTGTATGCAGCCAGCCACTTTAATAACAACAAACCCTAGAAAGTTAATACCAAACAAATTGCAGAAGTGTGTTAGAACTCGTAATTCAAGTGGATTCTTTTTTTGATGAACGAGTGGGTAAAACGCTGTTCCTCCCTACACAAACACGCAGTTTCTCGCTCTGTAGTTCCTTCTCCACCCGTCGTGTGTTAGGACTGTCAGCAAAGTTTATTTTGGGCTCGCTTCCACTACGCACAGTAGTAGCCGGCTCCACAAACAGTGCCTCGCAACTAGAACCGCCCCTTACGGCTTTAGGGCAGAAAGCAGCAATAACGGGGCTGTTGTCGGCCGGGGGGTCCCGGGGCTGTTCCTCATCCCTGCGGCGGGGCAGAACCTCCCAGTCGCCGCTCGGAGCAGGAGGTCTGGGGGCTGCCCCTCGTCCCTGCAGCCCCCAAGTCGCCGCTCGGAGCCGGGGGTCCCGGGGCTGCCGGGGGTTCCGGGACTGCCCCTCGTTCCTGCAGCCCCCAGTCGCCGCTCGGAGCGGGAGGTCCCGGGGCTGCCCCTCGTCCCCAGTCGCCGCTTGGAGCCGGGGGTCCCGGGGCTGCCCCTCGTTCCTGCGGTCCCCAGTCGCCGGTCGGTGCCGGGGGTCCCGCGGGGGTCCCCCTCTGCCGCACGTGGCGGGGGCTCCCTCCATCCCCGCTCCCGCGCCCCCCGCGCTCCCGGTCCCCCCGGCGGGCGCTCTTTTTGAATGAATGACCTCACCCGCGCCCGCCAACCGCCGCGCGCCCGCGCTTAATATTCATGAGGCGCGGCGCCAATCGGCGGGCGAGGAGGTTGTTTTAAACGGCAGAGCCCCGCAGCCAATCAGGCCGCTCTCGTAGGCAGCCAACGCGAGGCTGAGCCGCGCCGAGCCCCGCGTCGTGCCCTGCGCTCCGCTCCTGTCCACACTACCGCGAACAATACAGGTACGTGCAGCCCCGCCGCAACTTTTCGGGGGGCGGCTGCCCCCTGCCCGCCCCGCCCTG